ATGATCATAATGGTGTGGTTATTTTATTTTTATAATTTGTGGTACCGTAGTAATCCAGATCTAAAGTGATAAACTTGGGAGGGGAGGGGAGGGACAGTGGTGTAGCCAACATACAGGTAGAAGAGTCTATGTGACCAGTGTCATACAGCTGTGGCTTTATTAATACACTGTAAACTTTACAGTAATACTGTAATATACTGTAATATACTGTAATATATTACTTTGTATTCGGCAAAGTGTTCAGCAAATCAAATTCAAATGGTATGAAACGTTAGCCCAAAGCGAGTCAACCATTGGCTGAGCGAAGTGGCGGTCAATTGAAAGCCCAAACGCTGACTGAAGTGAGCGCTAAAAAGTGAGCGCCACTGACGCACAGCCTTTGCAGTGCATTGGCTATGCCTTCAATCGCGTTGTCGTTCAGTTATGTTAGCGTTGAGTGTATTGAATGTGTTGTGAGCGCTGTTCCCACAGCACGGCCTCCACTCCCCATCAGTTGAGTTGAGTTTTAGGCGCTTTGGTTTGCAATCGCTTTTTGACCACTAATTCAATCACTTATTAATCGACCAAATGGTGAGTATTTGACCGCAATTTGTATACAATTTCTTATTTAAGACAATGATCTTCACTATTGTCATAGTATTGAGTGAATGTGGAGTGCATTGAGTGGTGTATTGAGTGACTGTATGTCGGAGTGTATTGAATGCAATGAATGCGTGAATTGAATGCAAACTAATGGTGTGTTTGAATGCATTGAAAGGCCGGCGGAAAAGCGGGAAAGGATTCGGGAAAAGCTAAGGCAAAGGCTGTCAGTAGGTCTGCCAGGGCTGGACTACAGGTCTGTCCACTACTGTCCACACATTCTTGCATTGTTATACTGTAACCATTGCCGTCACTGCCATCAGTTCCCAGTGGGCCGTATCCACCGTCACCTCAAGAACCGGACCACATCTCACGGACGCGTTGGAGCGACGGCTGCCGTCTACTCGGCCGCTATCCTCGAGTATCTCACGGCTGAGGTATGTATTGTCTGGTTGTGCTAATGTGTGGTATGACTGGATGTGGTGTCTAATAGGTGTTGGAATTGGCGGGCAATGCGAGCAAAGACCTGAAGGTGAAGCGCATTACCCCCCGTCACCTGCAACTCGCCATTCGTGGTGATGAGGAACTGGATTCGCTCATCAAAGCCACCATTGCTGGCGGAGGTCTGTATAGCACTTTTGCGCCAAAGTTTGTGCGCCTTTCACGCATTGTCTCACGTCTGGCATACCGTTCCCCTCATAGGTGTGATCCCTCACATCCATAAGTCGCTGATCGGCAAGAAGGGCGCCACCGGACAGAAGCCTACATAAAGACCTGACTGTCCAGCGATTGTCTCATTCGTTGCTCTAAACTAATATCATTTAATCAAATGAAGCATTTCTTTCATTTCTTAACTTTTATTACATTTATTATTAATAATTAAAAGCATTTTTAATCCCAAATACACTTAACATATAGAAAGCAATTCATGACTTTTTGTGCACTAAACTCATTACAAATACCTAAAAATACATTTGATTTTAAATTTTTTGATTTATTCTTTGTATTCAATTCGTATTCGCGATTAACTTATAATTAATTATTCATTCATTAGACAAATAAAGAAACACTTATTCAGTGTTGAAATCATTTCGAGTGTTATTTCCAAAATAGCTTTCAATCCGATGGACATGTTTTCAAAACTATTCAAATAGTGATCACAAGTTTAGTATAAATGTTGATTACAATCACCGATTGCACTAATAGTGTCATAAATACCTTCTAATCCATGGACTTCTATCAGCGTCTGTGATCACTGCAAAGTCTTGTATGTCATGAGCACTGGTTTTGACATCATTTAGCATCTGATGGCTAGTGTTGGCGTAAACATACATATAAGCGGCCGCTTCCGCCCTGATTGGTGTGAGTCTGTGGAATGTGTTGACCGGAAGTGTCAGGTGGTCGCCGGCACTCATAAAGCGAGTGTACATCATATGGCCGGTGCCCACCATTTCAATCTTAAGCCATCCCTTAAGTACAGTGAGTGATGTGTTTGGGAAGTGAGAGTCGATATAATTACTTAGAGTTAAGCCTATAATAGAAATAATTGTTCATAAAATGGTCACTTATATAGTAAGCCATTAAACCTGGAAAGTCTGCAATAAATATGACTGAATTGTAATCATTTTGTTGGTATATATTGTCCTCATATTGTTTAAGTGTTTGGCGCCAATCAGTCAGATCCGAGAGTATGGGGAGCACCCAATCGGGCCGTTTGAATGCTGACCACTCGGCTGTCACTAAGTTTACGCGCGGGTCATATACCCGTTGAGCGAACCGTCCGTTTAGTGATATCCAGGAGTCGATATAAATTGAGGGCTCAGTTATGTTGAAGTCACGGATCAAACGCTTTTGAGCGCACATTGCGTACTGTTTAACCATATCTGAGTGATGACTCCATCGCATACTCTTAGTCCATGTCTGGCCATCATTTGGATAGCAAATAAGCACTCGTTAGTACATTTCATAATAAGTAATTTGTCTATAATATGCCCTATTTAATGGTAAGTTGTCTAAAGTTATGCAATACTTTCACAATTCTTAAGTTTTCTTTTCAAAAGAATCGATCGATAAATATAGCCATAGATTACATGTAATATTATTTTGTCTCTGACCTGAGGATTGAGATAAAACTTCCGCATCGATTTGTCAACAACAGTAACTCTGGTGTGAATGTGTTTCCAATTATGAACCATCATATCCCATGAATATCCATATAATCCGTTAGTCCATGTATTATATCCTTTGGTTATCCAATGAGAATGTGGTAGAAATAGTTGTGTCAATAGATATATAAAAATTGATGTCAAAGTTATTTTCTCTTTTGTTGATAACTTTTTTCTTTTCTCGTTGTCTTTCTTCGTTTTATCATTTTTCAGCTTATTTTGCCTTTTCTTAGGAACCGTTTGAATAGATGGCAAACATTTGGATTTCAATAAATTAATGACTTGTTTGGGCCAGTCGTATGCGCTAAACACCGGCATTACTGAGATCATCATATATGGGAACATGCCTTCAATTGTGAGATAATTGTTGAAATGAGTGCATTTATAAATATGACACAGGTAGTATTTCTAAATACATTGACAAGTGTTACAATTGACAACCTATTGAAAAGATCCTCGAATTCATTGAATTGAATAGAAGACAGAAAAAGTAGGCAAAGAATCGGCTCTTATTCCACACCAGAAAGAATCCAATGGTTAAGTCAAACATAAAACCTCCCAAATGGACGACATAGAAGTCTATGGATTCGTTGGACAATAAGAGTCTAAATGGAAATGACAAACAAATCAATTGTGTGCCCATAGACTGGACCAACAAATGCAAACTTGAAAGGACTGAAAACCCAATGTTCGGACAGATTGTTCATTGAGTAGCCATTGAGCCAATCGGTATCAAACTTTTTAAGACCTGCGATGAAGTAAACTAAAAATACTTGACTTCTTATAAGAAAGTATTGCCAAAAAGGGACTCTTCTATGGCGTAAACTCTGAATCCCCCGACAGTTGTCAATAGACCTTCATTTATGAATAAAGCAATTATTTATATATTTATATATCTTATATTGCAATTCGTGTCATAAAAGAGTAAAACCATTCATAGTTGGCATCAGTGATGGAAAGCAATGTAACCAAAAGGCCGAACAGATACGAGTGATTATTCCATCGACTTTTGTCCAACAAAAACAAATACCAATAACTCGTGAGGTATAAAATGCAACTAATTTTGTACTTAAAGCCTAATATTATGCCCACGTTTCCTGTTAAGTATTATAAAAATTGATTAGTTTATACAACAAGTAATTTGTTTGCCATTAAAGAATTGTATAGACTCTATAGTATGGAGAGTATATCATACCGATGAACATAATGGCATAAATAGTATACATGTATCGCAAGGGAAGCACTTGGAGGACATCGAATAGAGGGAATCGGCATTCATTGGGATCACTCCATATTGTATCAGCCCTTGAAAGCCCCCTTTCAAACACGATATCGATTAGTAATAAAGCTCCTGAAAAACAGTTTATTCTTAAATTGACAAAATTATTCAATAAATTATCATACTGTATATTTAATAGTTATCTCAGACTTTTAACACAAACCAACTATTGATTAACTAATTATTTGTAAGTTACACAATAAAAATTAAATATATACAAAATGTTTCTACAACAAAGGATACATTATTACCAATAAGATTATATGTAACTTAATCCAAATTAAGAATTAATTAACATGTTTCAATATGACCTGGTTGTTTTACTTTCCTTAATAAATTTTAGCATTACTGTTTAAAATTTAAACTTTAAATCATTTATAATATACTAGTAAATTAAGTACAGAATAATTTTGTGTATTCCATAAATTTATATTCGTAATCTCAGTATCATTATTAGAAATGACTAATTAGTAGTAGAAATTGTTTGCCGTATGTACATTAACAATATAAAAAAGCATTGCTTTTCAAATAAATTCATTAAATTTATTAATTATAGCACAAACAGTACTTATAAGATAAATATATTAATAATACTCAATAATAATAATAATATACTGTATGTTTTCATGTATAACTTATGTGATCTCTTGCTCTAAAGCTGTATTGTACAAAAAAGTTTAATAAATGTAATATTAGAGTATCCTTAATGTTGAACTTGTTGAACAAAATACAATATAAATGCTTTAATATCTAAAAGTTTACATTAAGTATTATACATGTATTAGAGAGTATAAGCAGTAATTAAGTCTTATTCTACAGAATATTATACGCCTATACAGTACAGAATCTGTACTGATTCTGAACTATAAATTATAACTCATATTTATAACAAACAAACATATTATGAGTTTGTATAAAGAGAATTCACTTCTCTAAATGAACCCCATATACAGTATGTGCTATACAGTAGAGTGTTCATTACTATAGGAATATAAGATTTAAATGAAATAAAGATTATAAAATATCTAATCTTATGATACATACCGACTATAATACGGGTGACGGCCAGACCGGAAGCGTCACATTCATGAAGAAGCACTTCAAACAATTTAAACAATCTTTGATTCAACTGAAAGACCATCTCTTGAGATATGCAACGTACAGTATAGTGAGGGATAGGATGTATTGACTAAGAAATAGTAGGAATTGTAGTAAAATATCGATCGGAACAACACGTGAATTAAGTGATGTGAATGGAGCGAAGAGAGATTTGACGGAAATCAATATCCATAGCAACTCCTATGTCCGACTCAGAGCCACAGTTATGTCAGAATCGACAGAATCTAGTCCTTAGGAAAATGTCTTATTATTACTGTTTTTCTGATTATTTTTACTATTAATCGATTCTCAAATTCAAATGATCCCAAATTTAATGTCAAACCGCTTTTTAGTTTATCATACTTTCTGTACTCCAATTGATTTCGGATTTTTCTAAATTTATCTTTTAATCTCTTATATTGATTTTATATTAATTTATGGATTTATTAAATTTAACAACAAATCTCTTATTATGTGAAACACTACGATAATATTAACAATAAATATAAGGTATATAATAATAATAATAATATACTATATTTATTTACTTAAAATTATCTAATGGCTACATAAATTTAAAATACAGAATATTCTTGATATTCTCTAAAATTATAAATTTATATAAATTTACTTTTATATATCTAGTTTGGAAACATATTATAATTAAATTTATAATTTTTGATTTATTTTTAATTTATATTTCATAACAAATTTGATTGGTTTAGATATTATACTGAAATCACTAAATACAAGAACTAATCCGAAGATGACGGTCAACATCGCCGGTGTCTTCTCTGTAATAATCTTTTATATTATAATCCTATTCGTGGGCATATGGGCGGGACGTAAGAAGAAGACTGGAGGGGAGGGCGACGGCGACGAGTTTGAGACGGAGGAAGTGATGTTAGCAGGCAGAAATATTGGTGTTTTTGTCGGCATTTTTACAATGACAGGTAAATACCAATAAATAAATCAATAAACATCTATGAATAAATGTTTGGTGAAGTATTCACCTCTTATATATTCTTTATTCTTATCAAATATATAGCCACATGGGTTGGGGGCGGGTATATCAATGGGACGGCAGAAATCATATACAGTTCGGGAATAATCTGGTGTCAGGCGCCCTTTGGATATGCTTTGAGTCTAGTGATAGGTCTGATGAATATAATGTTGATAGTTTCAAACAAATTCTAGCATTTTGTGGTCTTATGTCAAATTTAGGTGGATTTTTCTTTGCTAATAAAATGCGAGAACAGGGATACGTGACAATGTTAGACCCCTTCCAAGAGACCCTGGGCTCGCGTATGGGAGGCCTATTATTCTTGCCCGCGCTATGCGGTGAGATATTCTGGTCGGCGGCCATATTAGCGGCTTTGGGAGCAACCGTTAGTGTCATAATTGATATGGAAAACAACACATCCATAATCCTGTCGGCATGTATTGCACTCATATATACACTGTTTGGTGGACTCTATTCTGTCGCCTACACTGATGTCATACAACTTTTCTGTATATTCATAGGACTCGTAAGCCTTTCAAATTAATAACAAATATTTAAAATAAACTTATATTAATTTGTTGGTCTAGTGGTTATGCATACCGTTTAGTTTAAGACACCCAGCAGTGGGCAGTATGTCTATGGAACACAACGACTGGTTCGGCACATTAGACCGTAAACTCTACGGACAGTATATAGACTTCGGGTTACTATTAATCCTGGGAGGCGTTCCCTGGCAGGTGTACTTCCAACGAGTCTTGTCCGCCAAGTCTGCATATAAGGCACAAATACTGTCATATGTGGCAGCATTTGGCTGTATTATAATGGCCGCCCCACCCATGATTGTCGGCGCCATCGCCAGAGTGACAGGTATTACAGAATCCATTACAGAATATTGCAGTGAATTGTTGGACTCAAAGCCATTCTAACTTAACTTATACTGTGTTTAGCGTGGAATGAGACCGACTTCAAGGGTCCGCTACCTCTAGACAGTGCTCACCAATCATTAGTGTTACCAATGGTTCTGCAATACTTGACGCCACCGTTTGTCTCATTCTTCGGATTGGGTGCCGTCAGCGCCGCCGTCATGTCCTCATCTGATTCATCACTCCTGAGCGCCAGTTCTATGTTCGCCAGAAATGTCTACAAATTAATTATCAGACAAAATGTAAGTTCAAATCATTGATAATTTTGTATAACTTACAATTAACTAAAAAAAATTAAGTTTAAGTTTTGGTTATTTAGACTTATAGAAAACCTTTGCTAAAATTTATTAACAATTCACTGAACATTGAACACAAGATTGATTTCTCTATTATTTATAAATTCTTAGGCATCAGAACATGAGGTGATTTGGATTATGAGAATCGCTATAATAGTTGTCGGATGTGTGGCTACAGCCATGGCTTTAACTGTTAAGTCTATATACGGGTTGTGGTATTTGTCTTCTGGTAATTTGATACAACAATTTCCCAAAAAAATAAATAAATGCTTAAAATATTGTTGATATACTTTAAAACAGATTTGGTTTATGTAATACTATTCCCACAACTGGTTTGTGTCGTCCATTACAAGGAGCGGTGCAATACTTATGGATCGCTGTCCGCGTATTTTGTGGGCTTCTTCTTGCGGGCACTGGGAGGGGAGGCCATCATGGGTTTGCCGCCAGTCATCAAATACCCGTTCTATGACCCAGAACTCGGCCAACTGTTCCCATTCCGGACGTTCTCAATGTTGATGAGCTTTATAACGCTGTTGGGAGTGTCGGCCCTTTCCAAGTGGCTGTTCGAGAGCGGGACACTCGGCCCTCAATACGACTACTTCCGGTGTGTCGTCAATATTCCCGAAGATTCTGTGGTCGTTCAGGAGCCGCACGAAGAGATGACTATATTGAACGTCAATCAGGCGCTCCTCTACCAGACGTCCGAACTGAACGGTCGGGTGAACCCCGGACTCGTCACCGAAGAGGACGAACTCTTAAACAAAGAGAAACGAAACGACTCTTTAGTGAACAACAGAAGGGATTCTCACAGAGGAAGCAAACAATTTGATGAAATACACGCTAAGTCAACGGCACTGTTCGGCTCTATAGGACCCGGACAAGTGATTGTCACCAAATTGTAAGTCAATTAACACTATTCACACATTAAGGCTGTCATCCAAACAATAATCAAACTTAACTTAACAGTAGACTCAATGACAAGAATCCTTTTCATTGAATATTCTTACAAAAGTCACAAAAGACTTAAAGAATTTCAAAAATAAGAGATTTCATCGGATATTCTCTCAATTATAATTGGATTTCAGTTTATTTTATTACAAAATCCAATTCATTTGATATTTAAAAACTCATTATTATTTTTTGCCATTCATTAGAGAATATAAGCAATAAATGCATTAAACAATGAAATATACCTACAATAACTTTAAACAAATCGACTAAATGTTTGCCATAATTATTACATATAATAGAAGTTACTCTCTTAAATGCATTTACAAAATAACAGTAAATAACACTAAGACATAAATCAAGTCATAATTCAATCAATACTACAGAACTAAAGCCTAAAAAGCATTTCATTTCAATGAATCCTAATTTGTTTGGATTACGAATATATTGTAATAGATTTCTGTAGTATTCCTATAAAAATGGTTGTGATTAATGGTTGTGAAACTGTTTGTTAAACTTTTAAAACAATTCGTTATAAAAACATTGGTTGTGCTTTCAGATAATCACTAATTATTACGAAAATTGATATTTAAGACAATTCCTGACAAACAATATTAATTTATATATTATTATTCAAATCAGAGTTAATTTGTTTAATAATAATTCATAAAACATATATAATATTCAAAGAAAAAGAAAGACAAATGATTATAACAATAATATAACTTTGATTAAAAAGACTAAAGACATGATCAATGAAAGGTTCCCATGACCTGGTTTCTATAATTTTTTACACTTCACGACATTTATTGTTTTTAGTAATAAATTCATAATTAATTTATAAATTTATTAATAATTTTTTTCAAACATAGTTATAAAAGGAAATTTATTAAAAAATTTCATGAATATTTTATTAATAGCAATGTTGTGTTAATACAATTCTTGAGATTTTATTATACATTATATTAATTCATATGAAAACATTTGAGAATAATTTTAACGGGCCTTATAGTGCAGACATACAGAGTAATCAATTGTAAGCCTAAGTCATTGAATATATAATTGTAAATATCTATGAATAACAAAATAATAACTTAAGAATATTATGTATAGTGTAGTGAAATTAATTTATCAAAAATACAAAGCATATAAATTCGTTGAATACATGAAACTATTGCAGAAAATGTTCATTTATTATAAGTAGAGATATATTTGAATGAAGTCATTTTTGAAATCAAATGATTAGATGTTTATATATTATGATATAATTGTTGAAATGAAAAATATATGTATTTTTTAGAAATGTTTTACAAATTAAACAAATGTTATAATTCTTTATTAAAACAAAAAACAATTTAACACTTGTTTAACTCGATTACAAATCTGATAACAAACACAAACAAAACAAAATTTGTTAATAATGTTTAATTGAATTGAATTAATTTTCTGCAAAGTTTCAACAAAAATGGTTATATATTTTAGGAAAAGGTTTAAAATAAAGTATTACTTATTGTTAAACTCTTTCCAGAAGTCGGTATTCTATTGTGACACTAATTGTGAATTTTGTTTATAATAACTAATTATTTCAATTCAAAACAATGGTTGTGAAACATATGCCTGTTATTAGACATGAATTTATTTTTTAGGAAATTGTATTAATAATTGAGCATTTGAATTAATAATTGCATTTTTCATTATTTATTCTTCCAATCGATTGATACATTAATTACTTATCGTTTGAATTTTTAGAAAATATCATTTCTAATAATTATTGTAAGCTTCGTTTCAATTTAATATGTTAACAAATAATTGTTATTTTCAATTATAATTTTTTATTCTCATAATAATTAGTATATTATATAATTATAACAAAATAATAAAAATAAATTTACAATTTTATTTAAGCATTTTTTATTTTTACTTTATACTGTAGTTGAAAATAAATAATTTTATTGTGTTATGATTTAATTAAATTCCGATATTGTTTTCAAACAAATCTATTTTTATTTAAAAATAAAAATTAATTTCTATTCAATTGTATTTAAATGATTTAAAACAATGTTAAAACTGATGACAATATAATTAGACAACGAATGTATTCATTGTTAATAAATTGTTTGTTAAGTTAAGCAAATATTTAAGTCAATTTAAATCATTGCATTCATTGGAGTTTTTTAATCCATTTTTAATTAGGTTTCATTTCAAATTTAAACTAATCAGTAAGTTCATTATTAATAGGAAATTCCATTAATGTAAATATTCTATCCTAGGTCAAAATGAATATTAATTATGAGATGAGTCTCACAAATGTACAGACAGAGTGCTAATCTATAAAAAGTATTATATTTCAAACCAACAATTTCGTATTGAAAATTTAAAAAAGTAACTGTTTGAATAGTTTAATGAAAAATACCTCACAATGTTCATGAATAATAAAATCACAAAATTACATATACTGTATAATATACAGTGTATATAACTTGGTCATTTTAATGTAAAGCCAGAAACTACTGTTTTGAATGCACTTAAAAATACTGCTTTGCTTACAGTGCTAGCATTGAAGTAAAAGTCAAACAATTGAATTCATCCATGTATGGAATTGCATAGCACTGTAAGCTTGCACTGTAGGATTTTGACCAAGTTACGATATGGACTGGTATCAATTATACCTTATAATGAAGTTAGTATATTAGACACCGTTGCGAAACCATATTATGAACAAACCTATGGACACAAGATAGCGTACATCTTATTAAAGGTAAGCATATGAATACAAATTATAAATAAAATGAGACATTTATGAAAAATGATAATTTTTATTGAAAATGTTTAACAAATACTGTTTAAAGTTATTATAAGATTAGAGAAATAGAAAACATTGAATAATAAAAACTTTTAAACAAAATATTCATTTCAATGAAATGTTTATTTTAATTAAATTTAATAAAATTATAATTGAAATGCATTTGAATTATATATAAATAAATATTATTAGTATTCAGTTTACAACTGAAGGTCTGAATCGTCGATATCATAGTTGTCGTCGTCGTCTTCGACCTATAAATACAAATCAATTTAGAAAACAATAAATCAATACATCATTACATGTACTCACAGTTTGTCCCAATTCCTTCAGTCGCCTCTTATAGTGTCTGAGCTTAGAGTCCTGATCGGTGAGCAGCACCAGTAGGTCTTCCTGTTCTTTGCGCACAAAGTCTAACTCAGATTCCAGTTTCTGGCGCTCAGCTAACAGTTCACTATCTGATGAACTCTTTGATTGATTGATATCCAAATCCGACTTCAACTTTGATACCAATTCTTGCAATTCTCTGTTTTCATTCAAAAGACCTTCATTTTGGTTTTGGTTTTGGTTTTGATTTTCAGTTTGTAATTCTATAGCACCGCGTGTTTTCAATTCTTGTACTTTGACTGACAACTCATTTCTCTGTTAAATGAAAATAAATTAAATAAAATATCAATTGATTTTACAAATAAAAATGTCTTACGAGAGCTGTAATATCGTTGTCTCGCGTCTGAATTTGTTGCAACAGATTCTGGATCTCAAGTCTTAATTCTTGACACTCATTGCTATTGGCATCGGATGGCAATGAGGAGTCAATAGCGCTAATATTGAGCGGAGAAATGGCGCTCTTTTGTGCTTTTAGTAAAGCGTTTTGGTCTTTAAGCTGTTGGATGTGCGCCGACTGCTCCTGCATTTGCATCAATACTCTGCTGTGCTCTTCCTTTAAGACACAGAACTCACGTCTAATTACAGTCAACTGTTGGTCCTGTTCTCGAATCACTTCTTTGTATTGGTTAAGGAGTCGGTGCTCATCGGCCGTCATATTAGATTCGGGGCCATTGACTAAATCGCTGGGCTTTGATTGCGAGGCCTTTATCACAAGACCTTCGAGTGATTTGAAGAGACGACAGAATTCATAATCAAAGAGAACGTCTTCAGTACGTCTATAAGAAAGTTGAGGTCTTTGTACGGCTTGACTATAGCTCTCATTCTTGGATATTGAGCCCAATTTGTCTAAAAATATCTCTAAACCTATTCTCTTGACAATCAGTTGACACAAGTCTTCTCTAAAATGTAAGAATTACCGGTAAATTCAGTGATAATATGTGTATAAATCGAGAGAATGTCTCACTTCGTAAAACTTGGCACAGAATTGTCGTTAAAATGAATACAAATTCCTAAAAGGAAAGCACAGATTCCTTGTATGAGAATCTCGAGGTCGTCGCCCTCTACGAGACCCACTTGAGAGGTCAGGTATGGGATGTTTGTGGGGATACTGAGGAAATGAGAAACAACTGCTGGACAGTGTGCACACCACGTGCATAACAGCATCAATAGACTGATTCTCTTCTGGAAATTGCCACCGATTTGAAGAATAGTTGAACAATGCTTTAGGAGAGAGACGGGAGCAGTGCCCACATCTGTGGCCAATTGCACTCTCAACAGCTGTTCCTTTTGAGTTGTATTGTCGACCAATGCGTGACCCAAAGCCACCGAAACGAACCAATTAGACAACCCGTCGACACTGAATAGTCCGCCACAAAGTAACTGCCCGGCGGTAACGGCAACCACTGATAATTTGCAAGCTTGTCATTAGTATTTAATGGTATGTATGGACAGTTCGATAGGGAACGACTACCTTCTGTAGACGAGGGCAGTAGTGTTTGTACGATCTGAGCCTGACCAAGCTCATTCTTATAGAGAAAGCATTGGAAACAATAGAGAACAGCACATCTCAGTTCGAAGGGTTGCTTCTCATTAACCATTGACATCAATAACACCACAATTGCAGGCTTTGGCGGAACGGTCGGCGCGTTAACTGTACTGAAGTACTCCTGATTGTGATGATTGCCGCGAATCACTTCTGACACCGCGTTAATTGTCTGCCAAAAGATATATTTAATTAATAATTGCATTCATTTAATCATCACATTTATTATTCAGACTTCAGTGAGAATGTCTGCGGGAATACCACTGGCCATCAAAATGAGACACAACTTCTCCAGAAGACCGCTTTGTTGCATAACTTTCTGACAAGAAGTGGTCACTTGTAATGGATTATTGGGCGACACCAGAGTTCGGATCACTTGCAGCATAAACAAGAGGTTCGTTGCTTTCTGAGCGCTCCATACAGTGGCGTTAGGGATGTCTAGGAATGGTAGCAGTCGTTGGATATAAGAGCCCTCTTTGAAGAAGTTTTGATTCGAAGAATTGAGTTTTAATAGATTCTGCAATACTATGAGACAATCCTCGACCACAACACCTGTTATAACAGATAATAGTTGAAGATTACATCCAGAACCTACTGCTGATAACCCATACCTCCATCACTATATCCTTCGTCGGCCACAATCTCCAGAAGTTTGTCAAAAGCGTTCTCAAAGGCAACGATCTTCTGAATGTTGGCATTACTTCGCGTCAAATGGACTAATAGTAGTAACGCGTCGTTTCGGATCACTTCGCGACTGTCGACCAACAGATCCATGAGAAGAGCCACACCTCTCGGATACGCGAGAATACAGTCCTGACAGTCGCGCAACTTATTCCTCAACAGACCGATCAATAGCTTCACTGATGGGTAGCGCACCTTAAAGTCGTTTTCGGCCAACAGTTCCAACAGAAGCGCCACATTCTCCTTGCGTTTGATGAAGATTTCGGTGAACTGGACGCCCAAATCGGGGGACGACTGGTCACCACCACTGGCACCGGTAGTGCTCGGGTTCACCGGTGTCTCTGTCATGTCGTCCATGGGTCCAGAGATGACATAATTAAGAGTATCGATGGCGTAACTCATGATCTCTGTGTCTGACGAGTCGTTTTGGAGGACATAAGTCAAGGCATCCATGGCTTGTGCGCCCACTTCCAGACGGTATGTCTTCGACAGCGACTTCAGTGCCCGACACGCGTCCCGTCGGTCCTCCAGAAGCGTCGAACTCTCCACCCTTTCGACCAGTTTCTCGACCTTCACGTCACCATCACATCCAAGAGTATATAAATGACAATAAGTGGTCAAAAACGAGACAATCAATGGATGGCGTACTCAAGACATACGGTTTCGGCGACCGATGGCTGACTCGTGTCCGCATTTGTGCCCAAAACGGAGTTCCAGCCGCTCTTCAGAAAATCCATCGTCCAATCAATGGATCAGTTGATTGAATCTTATGTTAAAATATTGTCTTAAAAGAGGTTTGCGTTAAAAATGTCATTAAAATCGGTGTTAATCTAGGAATCAATGAATGGATAAACAAATAGTGCTTTGAATGCCATTTCACTGAACACTCACTCAATCTTACACTCAATTTAACGCTTATTTGGCATTTCGTCAACATTTCACACATTCAACACATTTACCATCAATTATGGCATCAATTCATGTATTTTCAAAGTAAAGCATCAAAAGTACAGTAATTCAACACTTATATTGAATTTCAATTGTCAATGAATTCACTGAAGAGAGTATATTTACACCGATTTAAGCGTTTGTTTATATAATTGGTGTCAAAACTATCAAACATTTGTAGTTTCAATGAATTTGTGGTCAAATTGAATGAATGAGTGATTGAGTGAATGGACGTCATTGACGGCACCGACCATTCATGTGATCGATGGCCCCGATTGTGGTGATTGTGTGACACATCCAACACATCCAACACATGAACTGATCTCACTTTCACCACAATTGCCACCAATTGACTCACTCGCGCACTATTGCATCTCATAGACCATTCATTGGACAATGATGTACCAGGTTAGTTTGTTTTATTTGTATTCATTGACATACCATATGATAATGTTATTGTCACACAAAGCACCCATTGATATGTTATGTGATTACCGTATGATTGATAACTAAAGGAAGTGGTCATCGGTGGTCATCATAAGAGAGCCTGAGATCAAAAACGTGACTTAATTTTAAAATAGGTTTAATTATTTTGGTACTAATACTATGAGAACAAAACAGGTTAACATTTCATGTCAAATATGATGACTGACCAATGCTAGGGTCATAGGTTAAAACCTGTATTGAGTTGCCATAGTATTATATTAGTACCATTATAATTAAACCTATTTTAAAATAAAGTCAGGTTTTTGATCGAAAGCTCTCATATGTTAGGATAATAATTATTAAATAGTAAATGAGTTGGCATTTCATTATTTATTTTAATTATAGTTTCAATACTTTATTCGTTACAATCTTAACAGTACTGTACTGATTGACTACAACAAAGTATTACGGTATAAATACAATACCGTCATACATTTAAGTTAAGTTACAGCCTATGTAATAGCCTTTCAGTTATATTCATTTGAATTATTTGTGTCTCTAATCCGTATTTTATTTTAAGTTTAGTACTTTACTATAAAACATGAACTAGCTGTAAAGGTACATTAAAATTTAGTTAAAGGTACTTTATTAATAGAAGTGGTTAAGCAATTATAATATTCTGTATTCATTATGAAATGTCTCATTTAACGTTACTTAATATGTAACAATTGACATTGCTATCAATTTGTTTAACAATTAACTGTAAGTGTATAACTACTATATCTACACGTATAATATTGTCAATTAATAGTTTGCTTTGAATTGAATTTGGGTTACAATCAGTTTTTATTAAACAAAATGTATATCTCTGCTAATATAATTTATTGTATTGTCATATAACTACTGATGTTTACGATAATTAGTATAAATATATAAAATATATTGATAACAAATATCAATATTGTCTACTTTTATAGCATTTGTTAACAAACTTGTTATTAAAGCACATAAATTGAATGTTTTATATAAAAAGATATGAAACACCAATCATTGGATTTATATGAATACTGTATTCAGTAAATGTAATTCAGTTCAATTACATATCATTTATATGTCATATTATAAAAGGTTTCCAATTTCTAATCTCTCACTAACAACTAACATTACTTTTCAGATCATTTTACGCTAAATATAGATATTTTGGTTAAACATATGAATTTGAAATTAATTTCATGAATATTATAATATATTGTAATACATTGTACTACAATATAATAGAATTGAGTGAATTTTGCAGTTACACCTAACCTAGCCCATTTAACAATCATAATATGATAGCAAATGGAGTCTCATAGAATTTACTTTTAAAAAAGATTTGATTTTTCATATTATGTAAGGCTTAATAAATATTTGCAAATAATTGAGTTATTAAAATTGCATAGATATGGATATGTATTTGCATATCAGTTGACTAGACATGTATTTTACAAATGAAGAGTTGAGATTAAGACAATGATTTGTAAACATTGTTATAATATAATAGGCTTTTGACCCTTTGGTGAGAAGAGTCATTGAGATTAGGTTTTTGGCAAACAATTCAATTACGCTATAATTACACTGTATTACACAGTACAGTATTTATAATGTACTGTACTGTATAATGTATTGCTTTCCATTTATAGTATGCTTAATTTCCAATCTTTCTCAATCCATACCATTGAATGCAACTTTTAATTAATATTTTATTAAATATAAATATCTAAAACTGAAACATTTAAAGGTCTCCACTGTATAACAGATGTGTATCAACTAAATTGCCGTTAATTTATTTTTAAAATAATTAATTTTACAATTATATGAACTACATTTTATGAACTACACCACATTCGCTATAATTATTGTAAATGTTTAACACATTATAGTTTAAAAATTTTAACTAAAATCCTATTTTATATTTTTAATAGACATGTACGTAAATCAAATGAATAAATTTATATTTTAGGAATTTTACAAAATATACATACAGTACTGTATTCAAATATATAAAAATGTATTTGCAAAACATAATTTTATTTAAAATAAGTATATTAATGTGAGTTATTTCATCCTAACCTCTATATTTGCTGAATTTAATTATACTTTTATTATTTAATATATGTTTAAGTAATGTGATATCTATCCATCTGCTGTATAAAATTCATTAAAATTTGTTTGCCATTAAGTAAACTAATTTATTGAAGAGTTTGTCTATTAGTTAGTGTCTCCAATGAATTGTTCATTATAAAGATGATATTCTGTTTACTTAATTAATAACTCATTCAATTGAATACAAATATAGATTTGGTATTGAATTTTGTTGTGTAATCATATAATAGGGATCAACCAGTCCTTAAATTAATGGTCTGTTGTGTCACCACTTCA